GGTTCTAGAACCGCAGGAGCAGAGTCCCGCGGGGAGACTCGGGTTCCAGAACCGCAGGAGCGGAGCCCCAGAGTGAGACTCGTGTTCTAGAACCGCAGGAGCGGAGCCCCAGAGGGAGACTCGGGTTCCAGAACCGCAGGAGCAGAGTCCCACAGGGAGACTCGTGTTCCAGAACCACAGGAGCGGAGCCCCAGAGGGAGACTCGGGTTCCAGAACCGCAGGAGCGGAGCCCCAGAGGGAGACTCGTGTTCCAGAACCACAGGAGCGGAGCCCCAGAGGGAGAGTCGGGTTCTAGGACCGTAGGAGCAGAGTCCCACGGGGAGACTGTCCCCCCAGGACCCCGGGCCGGCTCCGCCTAGGGGTCTCTGTGACTACCGTCCCCCCAGGACCCCGGGCCGGCTCCGCCTAGGCGTCTCTGTGACAACTGTCTCCCCAAGCCTCCAGCAGCTCCCTTTGCCTCCGCTTCTCAAGGAGGCTGCTGGCGTTTGCCGCTGCTCCTGGGGTCCCTCACGGTCCTTTCTCTCTGGCATCTTTCTCTTCTGTCATCCGCACTGCCGCCTCCATCCTACGTCACTTACCTAGAGTGGAAGCTCTGCCAGTTTACCTATCTGTTTGCTGCTGGGTCCCAAGTGTGCCCAGCACACAGAGGCTTGTCCACGAGCGTCACACGGTGGAGGGCGCCGTCCTGTGCTCACGGCCCCGGTGGCTGGGAGGGGCCCGCAGAGCCACGGCTTCCGGGGCAGGGCCACGATCGACCGGGCACTTGTCTAGGGCACTACAGGGCCTGGCTACTAGCAAGTCCCGGCAGAGATGGTTAAGCTGAGCTCTAGCAGGAATTGAAAGAGTTGTAGGAACCTGGGGGATGAAAGTCAGTTTCTCGGCAGACAAGAGCTCAAAGCCCAGTGTCCCCATGTGAGTGGACACCAGCTTACACTTTCTCAACACATCAAAAAGTCCTTCCACAGTTTAGCGAGGTGAGCTGTTTTCCAAAGTCCAACAGTTGGCAGTATATTAATGTAGGGCCCAGCACATTCGGACGAAACCTGCCTATTTCAGTCCAATATTTCAAAACAATCAGTACGAATCAGCGGCTTAACGTGAGGCACATGGCATTTGCATATTGTAACAGTAAAGTTAAAAATCAGCACAAAATGTCCTTTTTAAAATGATAAAATTAATGCTTGGTTAAAAAGTAACAGTTAATATCTCCTAAAAGCAATCTCCATGAGAGACTTGTCTATCTAACACGCATTGACACTTTTTTTTTTTTT